GTTCGATAGGGTACTTTTTGCGATGGGGCGTGCAAACATGCACTTGCGCGCGTATCAGCAATGATCGAGCGTAGAATAACGCTTCGAATTGCAGCATTAGTGTGTGGGGCCATCTGTTGCTGATGGTGTGGCTTAGAGCTACTGGCGGTCGGCCCTCCTGCCTTCAAGTCAGGTTCTAAACCGACAAGGCAGCAGTGTTTCACTGCTTCATCGCACTCGTGCGTGCACGTTCCACCTTTGGCTACCTCAGCGTCAAGCAGTAATGACGCATCGCTATCGCACAACCATTGTATGCCGATCTGAAAACTGCGTCTACGGCATTGGTCGCTACTTCTGGATACGCTGCTTCTTGTCTGTTGTGTTCTTTGCTCATTTCTTGCTTTCGACAACTGCAACCCGTTTGCTTCTGCCGAATGTGGAGCAACCTTTTGCCTCAGGCGACCTTCGTTCACAAACAGGTTTTCGTCGTTCTTCGTCTTCGCCTTCACCATCTCTTCTCAATGCTGGCGTTGACGCTGGAGGCGAATTACCTAGACGCCAGCATCGCCGAATTTTGGGCGGGGCTGCCGCTGTCCAGATTCAGGACGACGGCCTTGCACGACAGCGGCATTGTGAGATTGACGACGCATCGGTGAGCGACGTCTGTCGTTCTTTCGCTTCTGCTAGCACAGTTGGTGATCATTCTTCTTCATCATCAGATTCGAATAATCACCATAGCCCATCATTATATCCGTGGTGGTCAACTTTACCACCTACTTCGTGTTGGTGGCCATCTCCGTTTGATGCGTTGCTCTTCTTTTTGATCGTGGTACTGATTTTCCTGTTGTCGGCAATCATCATGTACAAGATAGTTAAAAGCTTTCACAAAAAGGCGGAGCGCAAACACGAGTTGAAGAACTCACCGCATTCCCCCCCATATGACTCTTCGCAAGTCATGCAGTCAGATGTTGCTGGCCGATTCTCAGGCGGAGGTGGTTTCGCTGAGAATTCGTCGTACGAAACTCATGCCCACTATGAGCGTAAAGTACAACATGTGAAGAAGAGCCGTGCTGACCGTGATCGTTCAAG